AAAGCTTTTAAAAAATTACCCATTTTTTTTTTCTTTAATTACTTTTAATTAATTAGTTTTTTAGTTTTTTAATAACAAAAACAAACGATAACATCTTAAAATATAATAATAATAATAATGATAATAATAATAATAATTACGAAATTTTTAATTTTTATTATTCGAGAATTTATTTTATTTAAAGTTTTTCGTCAAAAAAAAAAACGTTGTAAAAAAATAATAAAAATAAAATTTAAATAATTAATTAATTTTTTTACAGTTTTTATTATCAATAATAATAATAATAATAATAATGATAAAATATGTTGTCGAGATATAAAATAAAAAGTTGATTCGTTACAAATATATTTTGGCGTATAAAAAAAATTTCTTTTTTTTTTTTTTAACTAAAACTTTTGATTTACTTTTTTTTTATTTATTCTGGTTTTTTATTTATTTTAAATTTATTTTAATTATATTAAAATCGATAAAAGCCATGATTTTGTTTTAGAAAAAATTAAATTTAGGACAAAATAATTATGCAAGTATATGCGGGTGTCAGTCATTTTTACCTTTGACGTCATCGGTTCGAAAAAAAAAGCATAATAAATAATGATGCTTTTTTTTTATTAACTTTACATTTAAATTTGATGAAAAATTAATACCTTAATACCTTAAAAAAGGAAAAAGGAATACATACATAAATGAATGTAAATTTTTAATCAATTATTTTATTAAAATCGTTAGAAAGAATTTTTTTTTGTTCGCGACATACTTTTTCGAATACGCGATCGATATTTTTTTTTTTTTTTTTATAAAAGAAAAAAAATTATTTTTTATTATTTAAAATGATATAATTAATTAATCCGAGTATATTAATTTATATTTTAATTAATTAATTATTTGGAAAACTCGAGGGAAAACTCGTGTCCCTATCAATTCGTTCATTTTGTATCATCGTAAACAGACATTTTTTTTTTTTTTTTTTTAAATAAGTAGCCGTTAAAAAAAAATTATTTATTTCAAAATATTTAATTAGGTATTCATCGGTTAGTTATCCGCAAGAATCCGCATCCTGAAAAAAAAAAAAAAAAAAAAAAAAAAATCCGGTAAAAGTATTTTTTATATATATATATGATATGAAAAGAAGTCATTGAATAGCCGCCATTTTTAAAATAATGGTTTGCGTGAAAGTGAATTGCCTTGAATAACCTACTAAGGGTATACCATAGCCGGAACTTTATAATTTATTTTACGAAAAAAAAGCAAAGATGTTTGTTTGTTTGTTTGTTTGCCACCACACCGAAAAGAAAACTTTCTGAGTGGACATGAAATTATTTCAAAACAAACAAACAATTTTTAAAAAGAAACAAATCTCTGCGGTTAACGTTCCACATTACGATGCATACGTCTTTTAACAAAACAATATTATTATTATTATTATTATTATTATTATCATCATCACAACTTTTCTTTTTTTTTTTTTTTAATAACGAACCGCAAAAAAATTTACAGAGAGAGAAAAGTTTAAAAGGAACAAATTAAAAATGGATACAATCGAAAATTATTATTTTTTATTTATTTAATGGTATTAACCTTATTGATGTCTTTGTTGCACGCACACGTACAGGCACACGCACACGCACACACGCACAATAATCGAATTCGTTAATTAAATAAAATTAAATCGATTAAATTATTAATTTTTCTTTCAATCATCGAACCGTTTCATTTATTTTTTTTATTTAGTTTTAATTAAAAAAAAAAAAATAATGATTATCATTATTATTATTATTATTTCT